GCACGCACGCGCGCGCGCGCACGCCCGTTGATCCACGCCCTTACACGCCTCGTCGGTCCAGAGCTGCCGTGCTCTGGGAAGGCTTCCTTCTCGCTACCCCTACACATTCACACGCTTCCTCTTCCTCCTCCCCTCCTCCCTACACCGTCACACGCTGCCGTGGTCCTCTCGGTCGTCCTACTCTGTTACCGAAGCCTGGAGAGAAGGAAGCGGATAGACGGGATAGTGACAACGCACGGGGATGCAGAAATAATCGACCAATCAAACAATCATATTAGAGAAATGTAGAATTACACATCTACGTACTAATGTACGATAATACAGGTAAGATAATCTTGATGTACGAGTAAAACTCAACATATACTTGTATTTGAGTTACATGCAATATAGATTTGATCATGATATTAACAATCGTGCACAAGGTTACATATGTTATGTATGTCGCTGAAATTTGCATACTAAAGTCACGTTTGTGTATTAATTGCTAAACCTACTGAGAATGAGGTTATATGTCTTATATTGATGGATATGTATCGTAATCGGGTATAAACCAAGATAAGAGCTTTCTGTGTGCGTGCTTACGTGTGCGTGCGTGCGTGCGTGCGTGCGCGTGTGCGTGAGTGCGTCAGGGCGTGAGTGCGTGCGTGCGTCAGGGCGTGAGAGTGCGTGCGTGCGTGCGTGCGTGCGATGTACGGTGGTGACTTACTGATGTCTACGTTACGGAAGTAGACGGGAGCGGTGAGCAGCGCCATGGAGGATTCCTCCGATGATTGCGTGTTCACGCTCACAGGCACTTGGAGCGTTTCAATAAAACATAATGGGGTATTAATGCTAAATAAATACGAAATCTATTTACTACCAAAGTTTTTACCCAAGTGTTTCTCTAGTTAATAGTTTCACCTATTATTGCTGACAATTTCCTGTAAATGCCGTCCAAATGCTTATCTGCAACACACGCTGGCTGCCGCACGCTAGCTGCTGCACACTGACAGTGACACATAAATATATATATATATAATATTACGTTCTATAATTTTTATGGCTGCCCCCGCTACGTCATGCTCACGACAGACGCGCGAACACACAGACGTCCTGTCGCGAAGTCATCATCGCTCATCAAGGAAAGACGGACAGAATTTCTAACACAGCTAGCACTAGCCACTGATGAGGCATCAGCAGCGTGGAAACTAGAATTATTGCCGTTTACACTAATTATTATTATTATTATTAATGATTAATTGTTATTATTATTAATGAATGACACTGATTATATCTAATTACGATCCAGACGTGAAAAAAGTACGGGAAATTACTGGTAAATCTGTCGCGGTGATAATATGTTCATGTAACAGAATCAATAATGTAAAGCAAGTCATCACACCTAGCAGGTCACACCTAGCAGGTCACACCTAGACATCACACCTAGACATCACACCTAGCAGGTCACACCTAGACATCACACCTAGACATCACACCTAGCAGGTAGCACCTAGACATCACAAGTAGGCAGGTCACCCATAGAAATCAACTAGCAAGGCACAACCTAGACAATCAAGCTAGAAGGATACACCTACGACTCACACCAGAGGTCACACTAGACATCACACGCTAGCAGGTCACACTCAGACTCATCACAAGCGGAGAGTCAGGTCACACCGAGACATTCACAATAGAGGTCCACACTAGGACATCAAGCTAGCAGAGTCACACTCTAGACATCACACCTAGCAGGTCCACCTAGGACATCACATCTAGCAGTCCACTAGACATCACAGCCCTAGCAGTCACACCTAGACATCACACCTAGCAGGCTCACATCTAGACATCACAGCTAGCAGGTCACACCTGCAGTCACACCTTAGACAGGTCACACCTAGACATGCACACCGAGAGCAGGGCGCACCGTAGAGAGGTGAGCCACGGGTAGCAGGGTGCACAGAACCTTTAGCAGGCGTCACAGCTCGGCGGGGTGCAGACCTAGCGAGGTCACGACCGTGAGACAGCGGTGACTAGCAGGTCACACCTAGCAGGTCACACCTAGCAGGTCACACCTAGCAGGTCACACCTAGCAGGTCACACCTAGACAGGTCACACCTAGACATCACACCTAGCAGGTCACAGCTAGCAGGTCACACCTAGCAGGTCACACCTAGACATCACACCTAGCAGATCACACCTAGACATCACACCTAGCAGGTCACACCTAGACATCACACCTAGACAGGTCACACCTAGACATCACACCTAGACAGGTAGCACCTAGACATCACACCTAGCAATGGTTTAATTGCTCTCTCTCTGTAACGGGTAAAGTACGTGAGTAACCAGAGGTGACTTAGGAGATCACTCCTGTCTTGCTCCTGTCCTTCTGGTGTGAAGTAAGTAACAATACTACACTTGTGATGCCCGTTCTGCCACGAGGTGACAGCACTGTCCAGTAATGTATTCGGTCGTATATTTATTCGTTACTATAATATAGCAACGCGTCTAACACTATAGTGAAGTTATGGTTCGATTTGCGGAGTTATGATCATGAACATCTCTCCCGGGCATACCCTTGCCCATGTTGAGCGCGTGGGTTTGGCCGAAATAAAAGATCTTGGGTGTCAACCCGACCAGCGACGAGAGCTCAGACGAGAGCGACATAGCCAAGTCTGCTCGTCCGTCCGTCCGTCTATCTCCGTCCGTCAGTACGTCAATCCGTCCGTCTATATATCTCTCTCTATTCTGCTTCTGCTGCGCACCACATAATTATTGTCTCAAAAGTTCATGTATCTTTATACATATCTCTATCTCTTTATTGTGTGTACTGACTGGTATATGCAGCGGGGACCTTACATGCAAGGTCTTCTTCCTATTTCTTAAGTGAGGTCGGCTGATAGAATGTTATTACATAAATCTAAGGTAGGATAAGCCCTCTTTATTTTAAATTCATAATCTTTGTAAAATATTCTTCTTCTCGGGAGATATTGCGCATGCGCCAGCACTGTTTCAGGCGTGCAGTATACGGGCTGAAGAATACTGCATAATATAGCTTGCTGATGGAGAGAGGGATGGGAGACAGAGGAAAGGGGGCAGGAAAGATAGCTGATGGGCGGTAGAAGAAAAGGGAGGCTGAGGATGGGACAAGGGAGGCAAGGAAAAAGACGGGAGGGGATGAAGTAGGAGTTTTGTACCCTACAGGCTAGGGCGCTCTCCTAATTAGAAACACAGGTGTACCGATAAGAAATTATCACAGAAATCTATGCTGAGATACCCCATGACCATATTAAATGCATATTAATCACAAAATATAACTCCTCTGGTGAGATATTGCGCATGCACTAGCCGCCTAACACACTAACGTAGTCAAATGTTGTAGTGTATGGCATATGCAGCGGGGACCTTACATGCAAGGTCTTATTCCTATTTATTAAGGAAGGTCAACGGATAGAACGTTATTACATAAATCCAAGGTACGATATCCCCTCTTCATTTTAAATGCATAAATTTTGTAAAATATTTTTTTCTCAGGAGATATTGCGCATGCGCGAGCACTGTTTCAGGCGTGCAGTATACGGACTGAAGAAGACTGCATAATTTAGCTTGCTGAGGGAGAGAGGGGTGGGAGACAGAGGAAAGGCGGCAGGGAAGATAGCCGAGGGGCGGTAAAAAAGGAGGCTGAGGGTGGGACAAGGGAGGCGAGTGAAAAGACAGGAAAAGTAGGAGTTTTGTACCCTACAGGCTAGGGCGCTCTCCTAATTATGAACACAGGTCTACTGATAAGAAATTATTACAGAAATCTATGCTGAGATACCCCATGACCATATTAAATGCATATTATTCTTAAAATATAACTCCTCTGGTGAGATATTGCGCATGCGCTAACACAGTAACGTAGTCAGATTTTGTAATGTATGGCATATGCATATGCAGCAGGGACCTTACATGTAAGGTCTTCTTCCTATTTCTTAAGTGAGGTCGACTGATAGAATGTTATTACATAAATCTAAGGTAGGATAAGCCCTCTTCATTTTAACAGCATAATTTTTGTAAAATGTAATTTTTCTCAGGAGATATTGCGCATGCGCGAGCGCCGAGCACTGTTTCAGGCGTGCAGTATACGGACTAATGAATACTGCATAATATATCTTGCTGAGTGAGAGAGGGGTGGGAGACAGAAGAAAGGCGGCAGGGAAGATAGCTGAGGGCGGTAGATGAAAAGGGAGGCTCCAATATATACAAACATTGTTGTTATAGCCTTTTTTCTATTTAATTAATAAAAATATATACAAGGCAAGGTTGATGTGAGGTATGGGGTGAAAGTGCAGGCGAGGATTTCGCAAACCAACATACAACCGTTATAGCCTTCTATTAAATTGATAATGAAAGTGTCAATGACACTGTAGCTCACCACAAAAAAGGACACAAATGAGTGAGTAAAAAGAAGTCAGTTTTAATTAAGCAACCATCAACGTACATTATAGAAACGATTGCCATCTGTATATCACAATAATAATTTATAAACCAAAATGAATCACAATTTGTGACCGTAGATGGCGCTATACCCGCTTTGTAGCGATTGCGTTTGAAATAAATAGGTTATGCTGCGTTCCGACACGTTTTGTAAAACTTTACTCTAATATAGACGTTTTATCGGCAGGGTGGAGAGGAAATACCAATTTTGCATTAAAGATATTGTCAATGAAATCTTGTAAAACGAACCAGACAAGTGTGACACCACAGACTGTTTGCGTCTATATAATATGCTATATAACTGCCAAACCCTACCTAATTTGCATAAAAAAAAATTAAATATCAAAACCCCTAGCCCTTATTCATTCACATACCAAAAATGAGCAAAATCCGTTGAACCTGAACTGACTAATGGCAATTCCCATTAAATAAGATGTTTAATATGGGAGCATAGCAGTAACAACTATACCCAATTTCAAACATGTGGGCCAAACGGGGTAGTTATCGTTGACCGAAGCGAAATGTTGACAGATGGACGGACGGACGGACGACGACCCATGGCACAATGACGATGTCAAGGTGAGCTAAAAATATATACAAGGCAAGGTTGGTATGAGATATGGGGTAAAAGCATAAAATGAGCAAGGGGCTATGATAGAGATTTAAGCTTTCCAAGATATGAACAACGAATAAATTAGTGTTGTCAATCGGTTGTAATTTCGTAATCGATCATCGGTTGGACCCAAGTAACCGATGATCGGTTACAATCGGTTACTCGAGGTGGTGAATGCCTGCGTGTGCATGTATGTGCTTGTTTAGCCCTGTTTTTCTGTTTGTTTTGCACTGTTTACTACTGTGTGTATAATACATGTACTGATTCTGATCACTTTTCCAAGTTTTCTTGTTCAAATTTTAAAAAAAATAAAAATTTTTTTTTTTTTTTTTTTCTGATGAAATCGATTATGGATTTTGATAACCAAGCGCTTGGTTCGAGCCACTGTTCAACCGATGATCGAGTATAATCGATGATCGTGACATCACTAGAATAAATAATATTTCATCAGTAACGCCGTAACATACCATCATCATGAAAACTAAGCCGTTTGTCAAAATTGCAGGAAATGTCAATATTGAAGACTCTCGTCTGTGGAGTTTGACTCTCGCAGGTCCAAACTGTCCATAACTGCATTGACGTCTCCCTGATGTTTTATTATTTCAGCATCCAAATCTTCTAGGCTGATCTGGTAGATCTCCATCAGGGACTGACAAACAAATTTTAAATAATTATCACGTTTACCACACCAGGTTTAATTCTACATACTATGACTTATGTATTAAGATACATGTCCACTAGCTTACCAGCTCTACAGTTATACGCCTTGTTTTGAAAGTACTTCGCCTACGAGTAAAAGTATCTAAAGAGATGAGACGGATGGGTTTCACTCTGAGTATAATGACATTAGTCTCGCAACCCGGTCGGGCTAAAAAATACAAGGCGTATAACTTCACGTCAAACTACGTATCTGAACTCGCTGTGCACCGCTTCTAACGAAACCCTTACGTCTACCAAGATCTAACGTGATTTCAATCTCTGGCAGCTGTTTCAGCAGCTTATTTTGGCCCAACTTGCACGACAAACTATCAGCGGCATGAACCGTAAAGCATAAACTAGCGTACATCAAGGAGCTAAATATAACAAAGAGAGAAAGCAGATTGGCTGTGTGCTTTTCGCCTCAAGGGCACCATCTATGGACCATAATCAGCTGAAACGGCTGTGAAGACCGAACCCAGAGACAATAGAACAATAATCTGTTCTAGGGTCTCTGCCGAACCCAAATTTGGGCCAGATATGGCGGCGCTTCCTCTCCTTGTTATATTTAGCTCCTTGTCGTACATGACAGCTCACGGTGTTTAGTTCAGCTTACCCGTGCCACGCTGACGGTTTCCTCAAGGCTGGCAGCTGCTGGCATGGTGGCTCCTTGCCATACTGTTGGCCCTGCCTGCTCAACCTCACCAGCAACGTCTTCTGAATCTGTCGAGCTCTCACTCGCTTCTGCAACATTTTAGATTCACAGTTTCATGCTTGTATCATTTTGAGGCAATTTCACATGGGGTTTTGTCCTGTAACTCCCACTTTCTCAAACCAATGCAAATTTGGGTATTTTCAACTGACCATTACAAACAGATTTGCATATATCACTAATCATCACGACTAAGTAATGTTCTCCAAATAATTGCTATGTCTCTTATGATGGTCCATTAGAAGTGAACTATGAAATAATTCTCAATAAAAGCAACAACTCTAACCTATTTATTTAGTTCTGAGACTGCCACTGTGTGAAGAAAAAGCACAATGGGATTTGTCAGCAAGTGAACATAATCAAGAGATGAGGAAACACCCATGTGATAAATTAGACTAAACATGCACGTGTGCTTATTACCTCTCCTGCACTTTGTTTGTTGTTAACATTCTACGTCGTTACCTTGTATAGCCACATCCTCGATCATGCACTTGTTTTGCATGAGTATCTATTCGTTTACTGTTTAAGCTTTAAGGTAAACTGAAGTCAAACCTACCATACCCACCATGGATGTTGTTACCACCTACATCGCTCCTTCCTTGGCATTTGGTCGGGGATAGGGCAAGAGCGGCGTCATCATCTTCGGAGTAGCTGTACCCAGAGGACACTGAAAGCGGCTTGCCACGAGCGCCCCGTTTTCTTTCGTTTTTGCTTGAACTTTCCGCCCGCACGGGGTCTACTTGTGTAGATGTCGAAGGTTCACAAACATCCCCGTTTATGCTGTGACGACTCTCCGTTTGGTCTAACCTCGCAGCTGTGGTCGACGGCACCATACTGAGCTTCACTTTACCGCTACTGTCTTTTGATTCCGTTCTCCCACTGTCGGAATGTCGGACCCTCGTGTTGGCTTTGTTGCCTGTGTTAATTTGGTCGACGGCGTCAACTAGTTTCACTCTCTTTTTTAACCAAGTTGAGCTCGAATCTTTTGGAGCTGGAAATCAAATTTTTCAATTTGAAATTTCTGTCTCACAACAAACTGTAACTTCAAAAGTGGATATTTTTGGAAAGAGTGAAGAAAATTAAAGCACTTTTAGGTTCTCTCAAGTGTTAAAATCTCATTTTTACCCTATTTGGTGTGCCATTAGCCAATAATTAGACAATCCCTTTGATAGCTTAGTTCTTTACCAATAAAAGAATACTAGAAAAATTAATTACTTGAAAATCCCTCAAATTGGTACATTTTAAATGTTTATAGTTTAAAAATTCATCATCAAAATACACTTGGCTATGCATCTATTTCAGGCTTAGACTTTCTTTAGCAAGGTAGGGGGCTCATATCTGTTGTAACATATCAAGCTTTTAAATACAAAATGCAAAAAGATTTTTGCAAAAAGATGCATAGAGTTCTATAATCCATTACATTTTGCTGAATCAAAAGCCATGGCAAGGTGGCAACTTGGAAATGTGTCAAATATTGAGAAATGGGTAGCTCTCAGACGTGGAAGAGATGGAGCTGCTCTGCACAGCAGTAAACGATGCATCTCACTATTATTAGTACAAACCATTTAGAAATAGATGCCACGATAAATAACATACCAAACATGTTATCCTGGTTAACGGCGATAATTTTGAGGTATCGGCACCTGAGACTTTGCCACGTGCGGCCTGGCAGTACCTGTCAGTTTATATTGAAATAGGAGATTTAGGTCAGGATATGCCAAATATAAATGTAACTGTAAATGTAATCAGTAATCACACCACTTTCTATAATCACACATAATTCTTAATACATCTAAGAATAAAATGGCCATGTCTTTGGCAGATGTAAGCATGTAATTGGCACGTCCCAGATGTCTTTTATGCCATCACTAATCTTTTAAATAAAAACCTTTCGGGCTCAGCACTCGCACGATCAGTTAGACATTTTGATTATATGTACACCATTATGTTATGAACACAACCATGTTCAAACATAAAAAAACCTACTCCTTTTTTCTCCATCGTCACCCACATAGCCCGGCCTTTAACACTTCCGAGGAGGTTGTGTTTTCTGAGGTAGACAAGAATGCTCTGGTCTTCCTCAGGTTTGTACTCGACTCGTCTTTTGAAGCACACAAAATGAAAAATAGATGACAGTCAGTCAAGATAACTTTCTATTGGATAACGCATAATACAACTAGAGCACTCGGAGAGCACAGACCTCCGCCATGGCAGCTCAATTCTCTGACTGAAAATTTTTATTAATTAAATAATTAATTGGATCCGGATCACCACCAAAATGTAATCAATTCTAAGTTACCACATTTCTGACCTATCCTGAAAATTTTATTAATTAATGAATTAATTAATTAATTAATTGGATCCGGATCACCACCAAAATGTAATCAATTCTAAGTTACCATATTTCTGACCTATCCTGAAAATTTTATTAATTAATGAATTAATTAATTAATTAATTGGATCCGGATCACCACCACAATCTCATCAATTCGAAGT